AAAAATGAAGTCACTTGAGGGCTGGGGTTGTGGCTTAGCAGTAGAGCACTTGCCTAGCACATGTGAGGCCCTAGGTTCAATCCTCAGCACCACATAAAAAATAAAATAAAATAAAGGTATTATATCCAACTACAACTACAAAATAAATATTTTTTTTAAAAAAAGAGTCACTTGAGCCAGGTGCGGCGGCTCACGCCCATAATCCCAACAGCTCTGAAGGATGAGGCAAAAGGATTATGAGTTCAAGGCCAGCCTTAGCAACTATAAGAGGTGAGGCAACTCAGTGAGACCCTGTTTCAAAATACAAAATAGGACTGGGGGTGTGGCTCAGTAATCAACTGCCCCCCTGAGTTCAATCCCTGGTACCCCCACTTACCCAAAAAAGAGTCACTTGAAATAGAAATATTTGAAACAGGGATTTTACAGTAATTGCAATCTATTTTGGAAATTTGATTTATTTATTTACTTATTTAATACAGTTAATTTAATTTACTTGTTTTTATGTGGTGCTGAGGATCAGACCCAACACACTCTACTGCTAAGCCACAACCCCAGCCCCAGAAATTTGATTTATTCATGTCACAAATACTAGACAGCGAGCATGCCCCCAAAAGGCAGACTACATTCAGACACGTTTACCACTAACAAGTTTAAAATACAATCATAGGACTGGTGAACGGAGCTCAGTGACAGAGCACTTGCCCAGCATGCATGAGGCCCTGGGTTCAGTTCCCAGCACAACAAAAGGCAAAATATAGTGGCTTGGGGTATAACTTAGTGATAGAGCATTTGCTTATATGCACGAGGCCCTAGGTTCAATTCAATAACACCATAAAAATAATTAATAAAATACGGTTAGAATATATAGGTTCTGGCACATAAAGGTGGGAGGACAAAACACTTAGGAACCTTTTTTTCCTCAGAAATAAGGATTGAACCCAGGGTGCTCTACCACTGAACTACATCCCCAGCCCTTTTTATTTTTTATTTCAAGACAAGATCTTGATAAATTGCCCAGGCTGGCATTGAACTTGCAATCTTCCTGCTTCAGGATTCGTAAACAGTTGACTTTACAGGCATATGCCCAGTCTATCTATAGTTTTAAAAGGTCCCTACCAGCCACAAATGGTGCAACTATATAATCCCAGCTACTCAGGAGGCAGGGCAAAAGATTGCAAGTTTGAGGTCTACAACTTAAGGAGACCAGGTCCCAAAAGATAATAATAGGGGCTACAGTTGTGGCTCAGTGATAAGAGCACTTGCCTAGCATGTGTGAGGCATTGGATTCAATCCTCAGCACCATATAAAAATAAATACAAGATAATAATAATTATTATTTTAGGGGCTGGGGATGTGGCTCAAGCAGTAGCGCGCTCGACTGGCATATGTTACGTGCGGTGCAGGTTCGATCCTCAGCACCACATATAAAGATGTTGTGTTCGCCAAAAGCTAAAAAATAAATATTAAAAAATTCTCACTCTCTTTCTCAATTCTCTCTCACTCTCTCTTTAAAAAATAATAATAATTATTATTATTATTTTAAAAACAAGGCTGAGGATGTAGCTCAACTGTAAAATGCCCCTGTATTCAGTCCCCAGTATGGGGAGGATGGAGGAGGGGGAAAAAAAAAAACCTACAAAAGGCAATTTTAAAATCTAGTGATTATGTACCATATATCCTTATCACTAGTAGCAAAATGCAATTAAATCCACTGTGCTATCTATAGAAGCCCATCAAATCCAGAGTAGTTCTTTTAGAAGTTGAAATAACAGTTTTCTCACAGAGTAAACAAATCTCTGGGCTTCCAAGGACAATTAAGAAGATCATCTTCCTGTCACCACTTTGACTCCACCCCAATGACAAGAAACACCCTTGAAGGTCTATCTTGTCTTTAACTCTCCCTATAACTTATGGCCCCACATGACCAGAATAAACTTTTAAATAGGGCTAATGACAAACAGAAAAGGAATTAAGACTATGAAAATATTCAAATGGGCCGGACACAGTGGGGCACGCCTGTAATTCTAGAAGGAGGATCCCCCTATCTCAAGCAATAGAGGAGCTACTGGTAGAGCATTTGCCTAATAGGTATACAAGCGTGGACCTAGGTTTGATCCCCAGTAAGTGAGGAGGGCACTCCAGTAATACCACTACCACATGCTTGTGCACAGGCAACTGCTTACTTTGATACGTGCAGTTTCTCCCCATCCTACCATAAATCAAGTCAAAAGAGTTGCTTAAAAACACTCTAGCTGAATCTAGTAATGCTGCCTTTAGAACAGGGAAATCTTGAGCCTCCCTCTGAGCTAGTCCTTCATAAAGATCCAAACACTTAAAGCCAGGATTAAGTCAGCAAGGGACCCTGTACATTTAACTCACTCTCTCAACTGGAATACCATCAAGACACTTCAGCTACAGAAAAATGAATACTATGAAAGCTAAAGAAATTTATTGGCAAGTGAATTTTTTAGATTCTCTCCAACTGTGCACAATCTGCAAGGTAAAAAAAAGAAAAATACTTGAGTAAACTGGAATCCCTGAATTTCAGCTGACTCTGGGCCAGCTGTTTGGGAGCACATGGAGAATACCTGACTAGATGTAACATCTCGGGAAGTACTCTCAAGTTTGTAGGCCTCAGTTTCCACACCTACACATGGGATTGGTCTACAAATCCTGAAGATTCCTATTGGATCTAAAATTCTAGATCTATGAAGAAATTTGTTGGTAGTTATATTCTTATTTTCTTTCCTCCAGTACAGAATTTTATTTGAATAGAGCCTATAAGTTAAGTACTAGACTTTGACTCAAAGCAGGCTCCAGGGTTGGCGGGGTAGCACAGTGGTGTAGCACCTGCTCAGCATACTCTCCAGGCCCTAGGTTCAACTCACCACCTTTAAAAAAAAAAAAAAAGAGGGCTGGGGATATAGCTCAGTTGGTAGAGTGCCTGTCTTGTTGCCTTGGACCCACAAGGATCTGGGCTCAAACTCGGCACCACAAACAAAAAAAAGAACCCAAGTTCCATCTGATCTATTTTATGTCCCTCAAGAGCCATCACTACCCTAAGTAAATAGACAGAACCTCAAAATAACTTATCAAAAAAAGATCCTCCAGCTAGGTATGGTAGCACTCACCTGTAATCCCAGCTACTCAGTAGGTTGAGGCAGGAAGATCACAAGTTTGAGGCCAGCCTCCACAATTTAGCAAGACCCTGTCTCAAAATAAAATGAGGGGAGGCACCTGGGGATGCAGCTCAGTTGGTAGAATGCTAGAGCTGGAAGCCCTGAATTAATCCCCAGCACCCCTCCTCCAAAACAAAAAAAAAAACCACACACACACACACACACACACACACACACACTGGGGATACAGCACTGTGGTAAAGTGCCCCTGGGTTCAAAGCCCAGTATCCTTCTCCCCCAAAAAGATCCTTCAATAAGTCATCCTTTACAATTAAGAAACAGACTTGTATTTTCAGCCCAATGTCACGTGTGTCAAATGTTCAAAGGAATATCTTCAATGTAGCTATGTTGAAGGTAACAATCATCTATCTGCAGAGTACACACTATATTTTGGGGAGTGGGACACTAAGTAGTTGAAAAATTCTCACCACAGAACAATACTTTAAAATATAAGGTTTCCTTTTTATTTATATTTTTCCCTTCAGATTTGGCAGAGAGAAATATATTCTGATTACACACCTTCAATAAATGTGTTTTTTTTCAATATTGTCAAAATACAAAAAACAGAGATAAAAGTTTTAAATAAGGACTATTAAAAAACACGTGGAACCAACTTGGAGGGGAAAAGGATGCCAATTTTCCACTATAAACTACTAATCAAGGTTTTTTTAACCAAAGTGATTTAGTATAAATAGTTCAATCTCATGAAAATGACCAGTAACAATCCAATCAGTAACTAAGAACAAGTATGTTTAAATTATTCCTAATTAAGGTAGTGACTTAAGGCTGTGTATAATTACAAATTTTAATGAAACATCACTTAAATCATTAAAAAAATTTTAAATGAAAAATGCCTTTCTCATCCAATAAGACAGCCTTACTCCTAGAATTTCAACACAACACACTCCAAGAATACAATAAAAAAATGAAATCTATCCAAAGTATAACCATCTTCACCATTACAAATCAGTGGTTCATGTTGCATATTAAATGTAAACGGCAAAATGGAGTTGTAAAGAGTTTCTTTATCATTTCAACTCCAACGCTACGCGCGCTTCGCGGCGGCTGGCTACACCGTGCGGTCCTTCGCCAGCCCGGAGTCCCCGCCCAACCCCGCGCGGCCGCGAGAGAGGAAGCGCTGGGGAGGGCGGGCGGCTAGGGCTCCACCAGGCCCGGCCGGGCGGGGGAAGGGGCACTGGAGGCGGCGGGGCGCGCTTCCGGAGACTGCGCGGGCGGGGCCAACGCCTCCGGGGAAGGGGTCCGGCCGGGAGTCAGGGTCAGGGTCCAGGGGTTGGAGCGGCCAGCGCGGAGCAGCAGGTGGGGCGCGGCCGCGGCGGGGCAGTGGGCGGGTGGCCGGAAAAGTGCCGAGCGGGCCCCGAGAACAGCGGCGCTTTGAGAGAATCCTCCCGCTCACCTCAGACGACGACTCCGAGTCTGGCCTCTTTGCGCCGAGAACGCCTGTCCGTGAGTCGCAAGCTCTGAGGAGAGGACAGGTAGCTCCAGAGACGACCGCGGACTAACGAAAGAACCGACGGAGGGCGGCTGGCTGCGGGCGGGGAGCGCGAGCGAAGGAGGGCGGGCGGCAGCGGGAGGGCGGGGAGGGACGTGCGCGCCCCCGGGCGCCCAGCGGGCTCGAGCCGGAGCCAGTCGTGGCCCCGCGTGCGGGCGCGCACTCACAGCTCAGCCACGATTGCTCAGTAGCACGTCCACGCCCTAAAAGCAAGACGCCTAACCAATCATTGCTGCCGCGTGGAGCATCACGGGAACTCCGGGGCTATAAAAGACCCGGTTGCTATTTTATGCTTTCGGAGTCACTCATCCTTTAAGTAAGCAGGGTGGGGCTGGGTGCGCTTGCGCGGTTTTAATACTCCTCCCCAAACTGCCAACTCTTCGCGCAAGCGAGTTAGGGCCCCTCCGCTTTTTATTACGCGTGCGCACTGGTGGTCCTAACCCGGAAGACCATACGCCTGCGTGGTAGGGACTGCGGTGACAGTACCCCGGGTGGGGCTCGGGCCAGTCATGGCGGAACCTTGGTCTGGGCAGTCTTTGCATGCTTTGCCGGCCACGGTGCTGGGCGCGCTGGGCGCCCTGGGCAGCGAATTCCTGCGGGAGTGGGAGGCGCAGGACATGCGCGTGACCCTCTTCAAGCTGTTGCTGCTCTGGTTGGTGTTAAGTCTCTTGGGCATCCAGCTGGCCTGGGGTTTCTACGGGAACACAGTGACCGGGTTATATCACCGCCCAGGTGAGGCTCCCTACGAACCTCCGTGGGCTGGCCGACCCACCACCACTACCAGGCTGTACGATTGGTTTCCCTAGAATCTCTAGACTACTAATGATCCCCCAAAGAGGCTCATCAGAATTTGTAGTTGTACATTGACCTGTGCCACCATACCATTTTAATGCCAGAATTCCCACCAGTCCATCCATCACATGGTAACTGTTCCTCAAAACCCTCACCAGATACTACTAGTCCCTTAGAACCCCCACCACTCTCCACCAAAAGTAACCGTTCCCCGTCCTGAGCTAATGTCTGCCCAGATCCCCATCCCGCTGCAGCTCTGGATGTATTTTCCAGGTCTGGGCGGCCAGAATGGATCCACACCCGATGGCTCCACGCATTTTCCTTCGTGGTGAGTAAATCTGTCTCTACCCCAACCCCATGCTTGGCAGATAGAGGTCATCCCTGTGTTATTGACAAGAAGGGGAATTCTCAGGGTATCAGTTCGTCAGCTTAGTGTCCTTTGCAGCGCTCTTCTAAATTTCTATGCAGAGTTCAAGCTTCAAGGTGGCATGACACCAGTTTCTGGAGAATCATCACCAGCATGCTGTTCAACAACCTGTGGGGTGGTTAGTGGTATTGTCATAATTTTCAGAGATGAAGTGGCAGGTATGTGGGAGCAAGCCCTTCACTTGGGAAGTCCCTCAGTTGCCTCTGTTCTAGGCAAGTCCTCTACCCCAATCTCTATTTTTACCACACTGATCTCATTAGAGTCAACCCCCTCATCTGTAAAACTAATTTATCAGAGCATTCAGTCACCAAATCTTTGAGCTTCTACCACTGGCAAATGCCACACTAGACCCAGAGAACAAGGAGAACCCAGGTCTGCTCATAGAGGGGAGCAAGAGATTTATAAAGGGGTGAGGGGGCAGCTGTGCAGAGGCACAGGTGATCAGGGAAGTCATCTCCCAAGACACCTAAGCTGAGATTAAAGGCCAGGGGATGGTTTAATGTATTGGGCATGGAGAATGGATAAAACAAGGCACACAGATGATATAAGAATAGATAAAGCTGTCATGGTGGAGTTTGAACATGTAGGCATGGAGGGCCTAAGGAGCCATTGAAGGACTGACTCAGCAAGGTTGTGGCCTGAATTTGCCTGGTTGATGACAAATAGATAAAGGGGTGCAAGAGTGAAGGTAAGAGATCATTTAGGAAGACTACCACTGCCCAGCTTTCTGTCTTGGGCAACTAAGGAAGGATGGGTGCTCCATAAGGTAAGGATCCAAGAAAAACAGGTTTGCAGGGGAAAAATGGTAAGTCCTGGGTGGGCTGTGAAAGATCAGCCTAAAGGTCTGAATTATAGTGCAGCTCTACTGAGCCCAGCTGAGTAAAGGGACTGGGGAGAGCCAATCTCAGAGATTATTCTGCTGCCCATGAATAACCTCTGTCTCTTCTCTTTCCATCTCCTTCAGGGAAATGGCAGCAAATGAACCTCTCAAAACTCACAGGGAATAAGAGAAGGCAGCAGAAGAGTCTCAAGAGGCATCACGAGGTCTGCTGGCTTTTGCAATGGGTCCTGCTGCTGCTACCCAGATCCCAGGGACAACTGCAGGGGGTTTGGGATTGGGGGTAGAGAGTACCCCAATGCTTTCAGGACTGGGCCTCCATTACATTCAGACTTGCTTCCAACTGTCCCAGGTACTGGGCAAGTAAAGAGTTTTCCTCTACCCTGATATGGGTGCCTTAAGGAGAGAAGATATGTTGCTTCTCTCTCTCTGGTGTCAGCTCAGGAGAAATCTTTGGGTGGGGAGGCCAGTAGTCCCTTTTCTATCTTATCTTTTTCCTTTCTCTCTTCTTATCCTTCTGGGATGTGACCCCATAGTGATATACCACTCTAAGAAGCCAGAGGTTGACCAGATCTGAGATTTGTAAGGAAAATCATCACTCCCTGAAGCCCTCAATTTCCTGAATTTCTTTGGTTTTGCTTTATTGGCAGAGCACCAGGTAATCCTGGCCTTTTACTCTATGGTTACTTAGCTGGCCATTTAAGTAGAGGCAGAGTATCCCTGCTGGCACCATCCACATTTAAGCACCAAATACCCATCTCCTTCACCCAACCAGAGCTCTCCACGTATGAACCAGGCAAAGGAAATTGTCATTTATCATCTGTCCTCATGTCTCTGCACTTCTTGGGAGAAAGTTGGGTGCCTGAAAGAGAGACCACAAGCTGAGCCCCTGGGTTGGCTTCCCACTCATATTGTTTAAATACCCATGGGATCTTGGGTCTATACCCGCCCCCATAGGAAAGTACTAAGCACTTATAGTATAATGACTTCCTTATGCCTTGCAACTTCATGATTTTTCACCTTAAACTAGATTAGGGGCCTTATCCTAAGAGCCACTAGCACCATCTCGGCCCCTAGAAATCCTCAACAGGAAAGAGCCACAAGCCAGGCAACCCTGGCCTCTTTACAGTGGGCCAGGAGAGGTTCCAAAAGGGTAGATGGCAAATGGCCCTATACAAACACTGCCTCCAGAAAGCACTGTGGCTCTGGTTTTGCCTCCTTCCCTAATGGCTGTACTTCTGTTTGCCTCTGCTGGGCCACCAGCTATTTCAGTGTCACATTGCCTGCTTCTTCTGTTAGATGTCACATATCCATCTGGCAGCCTTTGCTTAGGCAGATTTTTTGTGACAGAGAAACACTGGAAGTGAGACTGCACTGCACTCAAGCTTATGTAGCCACTCCACAGCTGTCATCTGGCTTGCAGGATGATGCTTTCTTCATAGCCCCAGACCCATCTGCTGGCACCACCACATATACATTTAGGGTCTCACATTTCACTCCAAGCCCAACTGAGGATGTAGCTTATTAAACAAAGAAGTGCATTGCTTGTATGGTTATTCAAACAAGGCAAGTATATATGCACAGGGGGCAACTGGTGGGGGAACTGCTGAAGATTTCAGGACCCACAGTACAATAATTTGCAGAGATGAGAGGTAATGCCAGTTCCTTGGAGGAATGGTGGTGGGCACCCAACAAGAAAGTATTCCCATTAGTTCTTATAGACCTGGCTCTCTCAAGGAGAACCTACTCCAAGCCCATCTTGGAGGCCAGGAATGCGGGCATTGGGTTCACAACCCAGGAACCCTGAACAATGAAGCTAGAGACCATGGCAAGTTGGAAGGAATAAGCTCATTTAATTTTTTTCAGGAATCGGTAAAGTCTAGTTATGGGTCCCAGGGGTGAAGGTCACTTCAGGTGGTAAATTTGCCATGGTTTGCTACTGGGCAGCGGGCCAAGCCAAATAGGGAATGTGGAAGAGTGAGTCCATGTCTACTCACCCACCCCCAGGTTTACACATAGGAATAACTAAGCCAATGTTCTATGACTCAAGAATCATTCCTGTACAGGGAGAGGCAGCAGTTTGCATTCATGGAAAGCAAAGTGAAGGAGATATGCTAAGCTCACACTGTCCATAGTAATAGCCCTCTGAAATGTGAGAAACTGGTGAGGTAGATTGGGCAGGTATTCTCCCTACAAAGTTGAGCTTTTGCTTTATAGCCAGCACTTATGGCAGAGTGGAGTTACTGGGGTTATGAACTGAAATAGGACATAGGGTGAGCTGAAATCAGTGGCATGTATTGGGGTTTAGGGGTAGTCTCAGTGGCCTCCTCAAACAGACTAGAGCCAAATTCTAATTAGCTGCCCACTCCTGGTGAGTTCTTCTTCATTATCCTGACTGAGCCCTAATGAATGCCCCCTAGAGGTAGACTCCCAGAGAGGAGCACCTTTCCCTGGGCCTTTTTCATTTCAGAGTGTAGTAGTTCGTGGGTACAAAGGGCATCTTGCTGACCACAGCCATCTGCTGCTTCCGCCGCACCTCTACAAGCAGCTGTGTTCCTGGCTGACTGTACTTGAAAGGCACATAACCCATTGCCACATTCTTCTTCAAGCAGGGTGAGGGGCAGCCACTGGTCACAGTACCTGTCCAAGCATAGGCCATGTGTCAATACCACCATGCCAGCCTAATACCCCAACACTTTTGGGGAAGGAACAAGGGCTCCCCAGCTTCCCTGGATCACTTACCAATCATGATGCCTTCTGTGCTCAGGATGGGGTTGTGTGCCCGCATTGGAGCCCCCTCACACATCAATCCCACACGCTTCCGCTGCACCTCACCTTTCAGCTGGGGAACAATAACCTTAGCTCCTGGGAAATCCATAGCAGCTCGGCGACGCTTCCC